GTAGCCTTTCTGAAAGCTCTACAGCATAATGCCGCACCGCAGCCCAAAAACTAATTGCACTCTGGGGTGTAACCAAAGGAATCCCCCATACTAGCACCGCAACACAACACGGCACAGTGAAGAGCAAGGTTTAGAAGTTGCATAAATGTCTGCTCTAAAACGCTAAGTTTCCACAGTGTAGAAGACTTTTCAGTAGACAGACAGACATCAGCTGTGAGGCCAAATGATTTCATTCAGAGTTCGCATGAGTTTGTTTTGAAGGCATCACATCGCGGTATTACTAAAACTGTCAAGTGCATGCTGCAACACGGAACTCAAGCAAGTTCCGAGTTCAAGAGACAGTCTTACAAGAGCAATATTCTCCCTTAAAACTATTCACCTAAGACCAGTTCAGAGTCCCATGTCTGGTTTTACATTTTTTTTGTATTTTGCCTTATAAGCAGAATAGCACATTCGCCAAGTGTTTTGAGTCAGAACGTTACAGGGCAGGAAAGACTACTCAAGAAACATGAATTCTTGAGTTTGCAGTTCTTCCACGATATTGTGAGAACATCTATTATAAAAGACAGGTCAAGAAATTCAGATCAAATTAGGAGGCAGCAAGTTTAAATGCATCATTCTTGAGTATAGGCTTTTTGTAGGGAATTCTGCCTTTACAGAACATGCCTCTATAGTAAGCATGGAAGAGGACACCCCCCATCACCACCTTTTAAAACACGTCCCAACCATCCATTTTGCCTTCCCAGCACCTCAAAAAGAGTCCATGACATCATTTTTTTCCACTGATATTTAACATTCTGTTTACTTTTAGCTTATATAAGCATTGCTTCTATTACTAGATTTCCATTATGAAAAGTAACAGTTACTGAACTGTAAAAGGTTAGATAGAGTATTCGGAAAAATCTGAACAAGTAGGCCATCTTCACTCAAGGTTCACTTTGTTCCTTCCAAGATCATTCAACATTTAATCAGGACTCCTGCACAGACAAAGTTGTAAAAAACCAATACTTTATGTCCATGTGTAAGAATTCCAAACAACCCATTTAGGCAGAATACCCCAGTCTAGTTTTTTTCCTTTATCTTCTGAAGGTGAGTTTAAGCATCTACATCTGATCAATAAAAACTGAAATTCACAGTTATGCATATGAACCAAAAATTTGGCATACATATATATTGCACTGAAATGCATTCTCTAGCTTTGCTCTGAAAACCACCAGGGGATTTTTGCGTTTTCACGTGGAAAACACCCTTACGAAAGCTTCAGTAAGCATCTGTGTCACTAATATATAATTTAAAATTTTATAGTCTGTTTTACAAAGGCCAAAGTGCAACACAACCTACCTAGAGGAGGATCTCGTCCCTGTTAAACAAGAGTGATGCTCTTTAAAGTATGAAAGACGCTCCTTCTTTAACTTCACCTTTAGGCAACACCACATGTAACAGAACCTAGTGAAGCAGATACTTCTTCACTGGATTCTGATTACGTACGAAAACAAAGCAACACGCTTGGTAAAACCAGTATTATGTATATTAGAGTAACACTTTATAGGGTAATATATTTATGAGCATAAATTTTTCTTCTAAACCTTTGCTTTCTGTTCCTCACCTGCTGTAACAGAATCCACGTGTTTGGCCTATTTCATGACATTTTTTCTTCTGGTGATAATAATGGAGCTCCATCACAGTTTATTCCCATCCAACATTCTGGTTTTAAGGCTCTGTTTTACGCAGACCTGACTAGTACAGTAGTGACGTCAGCCAGCTGGCCATTCAGCCTGCTAGCACTCGTGAAGCTGAAAGTACATTAGCAACTGAAGACAAAATTCAGAGACCCTCCTGCAGCAAAGCCCTTAAAGCAAATTAAACATTTCTCAAAAGCTCTTGACAGTTTTATTCAATACTAGAAAAATTCTAGATTTCTGAAACGTATCTCTCTACCTACGCATGTCACGCAACCCAGTGGCATCCCTAAGACCCCTAACATTGTGCTGGTAAGTCTCTTCACAGACATTCTCCGAAAATAGTTTAAATACCTGTAGATAAACAGCAAGCTTTAGGTCCAACCGCTTTAAAGACTGCGGCTGAAGTTACAGTTACCGCAGAGTACATATTATTCTGTTTAAGTTTTAATACATCAAACAGGAAGAGGAAAAAAACCACTAGTACACATTTTAAAGAAAAGACTGTTGTAAGAGTGTCACAGAACCACAGAAAAAAAAATTTGATGTTTAAGGAATGAAAACACAATTTACAATTCTTTTTATTCCTGAAAAGTTACATCCCAAAGTCTTTAATCACATTCAAACTTACCAAGATGGCAGATTACCAAACTGAAATATCATACTAAGTAATACGAAACCATTATCATCTCTGAGAATCAAGCACCATTTATTAGACTTAAAAGAATTTATGACTTCTCTAAGAACTCCTCCTTATTCACCATAAATGTTCTGCCATAAAACTTCAGTACCGCCCTGATATAGTTAACACGTAGTACCAGGGGAAAAAAAGTTAGAAATGAATGATGAAATGATGCTCAACAGCACCTGAATGACAACGTCTTTTGTGCAGAGAAGAAGTTACATTGACAAGAAATTCCAAAGTATAATTTAGATACAGGGAACGCTCACGTGCAAGATGGCTTTAAATGGTCTGCATAGATTGTAACTCACAAATACACTCTTGATCCAAGTTGTTGCTAGTGAGCAATTTCTGCCACAGGCACAAAACCAGTTTTCCAATGAAGTGGGGTAAAAGGAGTTGAAGACAAAATTAAATCACCAAAACCACTTTCTTCAAATTAGCCGTCTCTTCTATTTCCATCACTTTCAGCTTTCTCCGCCAGATTTCAAAGAAATCTGGCAAGTTTCTTATTATAAGATATCCTCTCGCATTTCCTTATCGTTTTACCTGGAAGAATTCCAGGAAACCAAAACTTTTGTAAGCACTATATGTCGCACATCGACCACGTACTCTTCCACGCCTAGCTCCGCGTCTAAAGCACAGATCTGAAGGCAGTTGTCAGAACAGCAACTACAAAAGAACAGCCCTGTGAGGCCCCCAACACAAGTCACAGCTACCGATCGTGGCCGAATCGCATTATCGCTTCCCACCCTGCCTAATCCTGGGCGCCGCTTGCCCTCCTGGTCCCCCCGCACGCCGGCGGGATGGGCCCCGCGCCAACTCACGCTACGTGGGGATGACCCACAAAGAGCAGGGCGCGGCCCCCGCAGGACACAGCTGCCACGGGGCGGTCTGCGACGCCGCCAGCCGGGCGGTCCCCGAGACCCCGTGCCCGCCACCTCCACGCACCTTCTTTGGTCTGGGCGTTGGTGACCTGCAGGTCACAGTTGGCCGCCTTCAGCTTCTCGCGGCCCATGATCTGGCGCTTGAGGTCGCACAGGGAGATGTGGGGGCCGTGGAAGGTGACCGTTTCATAGTTCAGCTTGGAGAAGAACTTGTAGTGGACATGCGACATGGTGAGGGCCAGGCGGTGCCTGCTTCGCAACAGCGTCTACCGCGGCAGATGGCGTCGCGGCCTCCGCGTTGGGTTAGGGCCCACGGCGACGTGGGGAAGGGTGACCGAGGGGGCCGGGGCAAGCAGAGCGGGCTGAGCTCGAGCGAGCCGGCGACACTCAGAGGTCGCGGCACTCTGGCACGGCCAGGCCCCGCGGCCTCAGGCAGACTCGGCTGGTGAAGGCCTCAGGACTCCATCGCAGCGACACTGCGAGGCCCCAGCCCCCACCCCGACAATGACTCTGGCCCGCGGCCCTCAGCGATCGAGCTCCTCCTTGCAGCACGGGCAGGCGGACGGACAACGGGGAGAGGCCCCCGCGGCCCCCGCTCCGGCCACCCCCCCCACCTCACCC